TATTGGACAACTGAGTGTCAGGCAAAGTGTGCGTTTGGCAGCTGAAATCAAATAAACAGTGTGAAAGAAAGGCATAAAGCTTTTCAGACAAATGGGCGAGCTTGTTGTCTATCAAAGAAGGCTGCTCCTGATGTCACTTTGCTGGACCAGCTCAAGGCTTACGATCCTTTTCACTAATCAAAGCCTCATGACCTTCACTTAACCCTAAACCTAACCCATCAATAACTCCACAACTCATGTTTACTTAGAAGACTTGTTTAAGTGTCACATGCTTCAAACATTAAAGAAATCAAATAGAAGTTATCTTAGCATTCCTCCTTGCTTCAGGTCCAGCCTCACTTCCTGGTTAAAAAAAAAAAGGGGCATGCCTCCATTAGGAGGCCATTTTGTATTAGGTGGAAACTTCTCAAGTTTAATGGCAGATTGCAATCGTGTAAAGGTGCATATCGCCACCTACTGTACCTACTGCGTGTAACTTCAGGGCTTTAATCTTTAAGTCGACTCTGTGCAATGCCTGAAAATCTGATCATTTGACAGCTCTAGATTAAACCAGAGAGCACAACTGGAGTGAACAGCTTAATTCCCCAAGGCACATCCAAAGCAGTTTATTTACCTTACGTCTTTCATTTAATTAATGTAGTGAGTTGGCAGGTCACATTATGAATAATATACTTAACCCATGTTTTTTGAACATAAATATGTGTGCCTAGTCCGTCGACAACTCTGTGCAGTGCCTGAAAAGCTTTTCATTTGACAGTGTTAAGAAGGGTTCAAAGTTGAGGTACTATCACCGTGGGGCATCGGGTCAGGATGCAGGACTCCAACAAGACTTGAGTTTATGTAACAAGTTTATTTCTTCAAATTAGGTAAATCATAAGGGTAACAGAAGACACACATGGGATTGATCAGCCATGCTGAAAGACAAAATAAAATAATATTAGTACAATAAACAAGTCAAATTACATTACTTTTTGAAAGAAATGAAGATAAATAAAGTGCTTAGGACAAATTAAAACAAACTAGATAGTAACTAAAATAGGAGTAAAAAGCCACCTTACCATTTCTGAACTGCCACCCCATGTGAGGATGAAAACATGAGTGCAAGGAAGTGCAGTCTTAAATCAGGAGTAGGCAGGTGAATTCAATCTAATTAATTAATGACAGAGTGCAAACAACAAGCAATCAAGAGAGGAGAGAGTGAGAAACCAGGAAGTGTACTAAAGGAGGTGCAGTAGGAAAAGAGAGGAAGTGAAAACAAATAGTGACAGTTTAATACCAGAATTTCCCTCAGGGCTATAAAATTTGAAAAAAATCAAAGATTTTGAAGAGGACAATGTAACAGTGATTATGAAGAGAAGTGCTGCTTAATGTAATGAGTTCGCTGGGGAATTGAGTTTGTTTGAACTTCTTCAATGGCGTCAATTTGTCAGATGTTCCCACTGGAAGATGCTTTACTTGTTACTGAAACACTTCACCCCATTAGCACAGGAATAACCATGGCAACTGTGTACACGGTTGTGATTTATGATTGGAAATTTGCGGATTTTCAAAATGATTTTGCCAATTAAGCTGCACTCTAAGACGGCCGAGGTGACAACAGGATGATTATTGGATGACTGAGTGTCAGTCAAAGTGTGCGTTCGGCAGCTGAAATCAAATAAACAGTGTGAAAGAAAGACAAAAAGCTTTTCAGACAGATGGGGGAGCTTGTTTATAAATGGCGGATTATCAAAAGAGAGGTCTTTTTTTTCCCCCAACATTTCCACCAAAAGGGATGTTTTGATCTCAAATCAAACATTTTACCGCCCTCTAGTCGAACTCCTGCCGTGTCTCTTCTGGTTGGAGTGGACTTCAAAATGGAGCAGTGAGTACATGCAAGTGCAGATAAGATTATCAGAGTATGTTTTTTTCGCTCTGAGGAAGTGCCTTTGTTCTCAGCGGTCAAGCAACACCACCTTTTCAAACTCTGCAGATAATGCCCACATTCAAACGACAAAGAACTTTATCTTATCTGCAAAACATATGCTGGTGTATCTTATCCAGATTTCATCCGCCCACTACTTTGAAGCCCCATTTTTATTTGGCTAAGAGCCCTCTTTTGTGTTGGGTTGCATTTTTAAGATAAAGCAGTGAAATAAACTGATTTGTAAAAACGTTGGTTGCCATTTTGATAAGCCCCAAACGTCAAACTTTATTTTTCTTTTCCATCTCGAGGTGTGAAAGTCCCTAGCTTCTGAGCCGATACCCTGCGACAGGTCTACGGCCCCAGCATTTGACACAAACCTTTTTTTTTTTTTCTTTCTTGGTTGTAATACACCTTAAATTGCCCGTCAAATCGCCCGAGGCAAAGCAGCAGGTATTCACCAGCAAATTCAGCTGCATCCAAAAAAAAAAAAAAGGCCAAAAAAATCAGACTCCATTTGCACTCCTTATTTGAAAAAGGTCCAGTGAGGGAAACTGGGAAAGGAAGGCAAATGTGTATGACTCTCCCAATGGCGTGCCGCAACTTCTCCATGCGTTAGATGGATTTATTTCACGCATTCACGCTGGGATCTCAAACACTTTGTCTTCTGATACGCATGTTTAAAGCCTGGCCGTAATGTAACACGCCTTGAAATATAGCACCAGGTTTTGTGTGAAACCGTGTGATCCATTTCTTGATGTAAATGCAGGGGGGCTCTACATCCAAGGGACTTGAGTTATGCTTGAACGTGTTGTCCGGCTTCCCAATAGACCTGCCTACAAAAGCATGAAACATTGATTACATGGTAGGCCTGCTACATTTCCCATCAATCAGCATGGGAATACGAGTAGCAGGCTTGTATTATACTCATTATGCAGAGGTGAGGAAATAGTCCTGACAGTATTCATGTCTTTTACTGATATACCCAACTGTTTTCACTCCTAATTGATGAAGAGTGTTTTTTGGTGTTTGATTTGAAGCTAATTTGCCGTCAGATGATTATCAATGGGTTTCAGTATTGCACGTTTCCCACATGGACTTCTTTCCTATGTACATTTATACTCGCTCAAATGGAACAGACATTCTTCCAATGGGCGTTGGGTTTCATCTCCAAGTGAAACAATCCATTTTGATTGTTGAAAAATACAACTTTTTATGAGGTAATGTTATATAAAACAGTTAGTCATGTCATAGGTTTGGTTTACAAAGACTTCTTTTTGGGCTTCAGTGCCTTTATTGGAGAGATAGGACAGTGGATAGAGTTGGAAATCAGGGAGAGAGAGAGAGTGGGGATTGACAGGTTGGATCTCCTTGTGGAAAAAGTCCTCTGCGTTAGAAACATCTTAACTGATGTGGCAAACCAAAATTAAGTTGAAGTCATACCTTGATAGCTTTGTTTGGAAGCTTTGAAGCTTAAGGCCACAGACCACAAGCCGCTTAGTTTGAAAAAAGTTGGAAGTAAAACCTTTTTAGTTAGTAGAGTGTTTTTGCCATAAAATGAGAAAAAAAAGAGTCCATCTACTGTGCCCCAAGTCTGTCGTCCAGTCAGTTTCAAAAACCTAAATCAAGTGACATTAAGTGGTGGACCATTCATCCAGAGAAAGCTTTTCATTTCACCCGTTTTATCTAATTTTAAAATTTAGATGGAAAGTCTCCTGAGGAGAATCGGGGGAGGGGAAAGGGGGGGGGGGAGTAATCACCTCTGACAGTGACTCTTAAGCTTAAGAGTCGTACCCATCTCTCTGTTCGAGGAGCCTCACCGCTAATGATTTATGGGCAACACGTCCAGGCCTAATTGGATCTTTGAAATACCTCTCCCCTTTTGTCTGAAGGGCTCTAATGTCTTCAGTGCTTGCACCGCCTTGATGTAGTGCTCCAGCTCGCCCCACACTTTCCCTCCACTTACACTGAAAATGACCGCCATGTTCATGAATACAGAGAAAAAAACAGAGACAAACACCACCTGTTTTTTTTTTTTTTTTTTTTTTACATTAGCCTATGGAGATTCTTCATTTCACACACTGAAATCCAAACGCACACTCATATCTCCCTGGAGAGTTGTCGCTAGGCAACTGGAAGCAGCACCCCCCCACCCCCCCTCCCTCCCTCTTCTTCCCTCAAACCCTTCCTTTTCTTTTCATTATATCTCTCGTTATCAAAGGTGAAGGGAAGAAGAGGCGACAGGGAGCTCAAGTAAAAAGCTATATTTCCCATCGGTGCAGCATATTTGTTGTCTGGCATCTATTTGATCTCGTCAAAATATGTATTACATCCATTATTATGGTTTAAACGCGTAATATATTGGAATGATCCAAACTGCAAAGCCGTCGTCGAGTACATCCACGTCGTTGCTTCTGATTTCTAAAAAGTGGATGCACCAATTGTAGGTCTTCGGTACTTTCTGATCTTCGGTATATCATCAGTTTGCAATCACATAATACAGGTTGCAAGTCATCCTCTCTCAGCTCCAGCCCACCGAAATGTTTTGTTTGTCATTGTGGTCTGGTACAGCTCAATGGACACTTCACTCATACACATCAACATAAACCCTTATCACGCATGACTGCATGAGCGCACCAGTCACTTGTCATTGCCACTCATCATTTTCAGTCTGCAAAAATGTGAAATGAGTTTGGGAAAATAGTCCAATTTCCACCAAACTACCCACAAAACCATTGGTTTTCAGGGTGTATTTCGAAAGAAATATGGTCAATAGCAGAAAAGGTGTTAGTGGATAATGTGGTGGCAGAACGGTTGTGTTCTTCCTGTGGACATTAGCCATTTGAGGGGTTTTTCCGGTTTCACTGACATGACAAATGTGTGTTTTTGTTAGCTGCTGGGATATTTTGGCTTCATGCAGTCCAACGGGACGCTGTCCATTTGTATATACAATCTAACGATGGAGTAGCCTAAGGTGTAACCTAAACGTTGAGGGCTGAAGCTCATTAACATCAAAAGGTGAGTTGAGACATGGGAATAAAGGCAGCGACAATGATTCCACTTTTAACGTTTTTATTTGCACAGGTTTTTTTTTTTTTCTTAATTTGTCAAGTGGTTCTTCCTGTTTCGGAGACAAAATATGACAATTAATTATTTGCCTCATTAACAAACTAACGTTCAAGAATTCTAAACACGCTCAGCAAACAGAGGATGTATAAGTTAAACAATAAATCAAGTCTTCCCGATGCATCATAAACAAACATAATCAACTCATTTACTCAAACAATAACTCACATGCGGACGCACTCGGCAAAGAAAGGTGGAACAGGTCTCGTCCTTTGGAGAGCAAACCGAGCAATGACCTCTCCTTTCCTTGATGGGAGACCTGATTTGGGGATCTCACTCACCTGTGGTCGATTGCTGCAGCCAGCACAGGTGATTATTGTTGCTCCTAATCAAGGCAGACATGACATCTCAACACTCACTACAAAAAGCCCAACTTTGTTCAACCTAGCTCGTTAATTAACGTCGTACAAAATATCAAACATCCAAGGCTAGAGACGACAGTAACAGTTGTGGGCTGTTTAACCAAAACAAGGAGCTAAAACGCTAAAGGGTATTGCAGTTGTTTTGGTAATTTCTTCAGGGAATTCATCAATAACAATGGAAATTTCACATTTTGAGGAGTCATGTGATCATTTGTTATACTGATTAGGGTAGCTTTAATGTCTGAAACCACATTTTTTATGGACTTCAAATCTTGTAGGTTTGGAAATGCTGCTCAACAGAACAAGACTTCTGAGCCTCGTAAAAGTCTTTTTTTTCATAATAAATTGGGATTTTAAATAAAACTGTCTTTTAATAGTGTACCAAGTGATACAAAACAGATAATGTTTTTTTTTGCATACTTGTCCTTTAACTTTTAGTTATAAAGCCAAAATAACGCACACTATAATTACGGTGCTGTCTTTGGAGTCAAATATCTATTCCTAACTGAATCCTGTATTTAAAAAGTCAGGAGATTGTTCTCCCATTGTCACTCTCAAAAGCATCCCTCCCGCGTCCTTGAGTCCGTTGCCAAGACTAATGACGAGCCCCGTTGTCTCTCCATTTGTTTTCCCTCGTGTCCTCTGCGGCGTCGCGACACCGCCGCCGCCGCCGCCGAGAGATTACAGTTGTATTGGGTTGCCCGCCTGTCACTGTACAAATGCCTGTCATTAATTTCACAGGCAGAAGGCAATTTTCAGAGGAGTGGATAAGTTCTGATAATGACGCGAGCACTGTTTGTGCTGACAACTCGGGAGGAAAAGAAAAAAACACACTAACTTTTGCATCTGCTGGTTTTGATACAACTACAGGACTATTTTTACCTTGTAGTGTTATCTATTTTAAATTGCTTTTTCATGGTGAATGATTTATATAGCTTTTGTTTTAGAGTGTAAAAGAAGACGAATGACAGGGCGGACTTAGAGGAAGATAAATGATAGAGACTGGTAGATAATATGAATTGGCATTAGATCTTTTTAAGATCCCAGCGCCCTCTCATGAACTCGTATAAATCACCTCGTAAGCCCGGTGTTTATAAGGAGCTGTCAGACGAAATCGAATGTCACTTGTAGATTTGTTCCCCCTATTCCACCCTCTCAGGAGCGCTGCTTGGACTCATCCCCAGCCATGCTCTCCTCCTCCTCCTCCTCTCCCTTCTAATAACTCAGTGTGTGTGATTGCATTAGGGCCGTGATAAATGTAAAATAGGAGCTCACCGCTGAGTGCATCATCCCAAATTACTCTGCAGACGACGCACGCTACAGATGGGGAACAGGAGGAACTTGTTTTTTTTTTCTTTTTCTGAACCGTCTTTGTCACGGAGCTGTTGTTTTTTTTCACGGAGCAAAAATAAAAACGGGGGGGGGCTTGCAGCCCTCTAAATCCGCAGAGTCCTCGTCTTGCTGTCACCGCCTGATGAGATTTGTGCCTACTCAGCTTGCTAAAGAAAATTAAGTAAGGTTTCACAATGCTCATAAGATGTTTTTACACTCCTGCTCTTTCAGGCTTTTACGCTCATTACTCTCCTGTTTTAATCCACAAAAATCAGAGCCATCTAGACACATTTTCAACACACTAGAAATGCTATGACAAGACCACAATGCACTGCAGATCCATGCTGTGGACTTTAAAGTCAAAAGATTCCCACATCCTTTTTTTTTACCATGACATTTATCTCAAGAGTTCCCTTTAAATCCACAGGTCCAGCAGTGTGTGACTTTTATGGACCGCCTTAAGTCTGTGCTAAAACATGAAATATACTAAAAGCAACTATTACTTTGGGCTTTACTTCCCTTTCCATGTCTTTTATCCTCTACGTCGTTGGTTTGGTTCCTTTGAGATGTTTGGCTGCAGTATCTTTTCATGAAGCTCCTACGACAAGGGTTAGGGTTAGGGGTGAGGCGAGGCAAGGTAGTAGGGAGGACAGGGGAGGAGGAGGTAGGAGAGGAGGATGTGAATTTCCTCCTATGCTATATTTCTTGCACCCCTCCACGGACACAGGAGGAAGCACCAGATCTCAAAAGGAGTTAAAAACAGGAGCTAAAATGGGGACAGGCGGTGAAGAAGTGTGTTTTAAAACTGGTTTAATAAGTAGAGGAAATGTTCACAGGTCGGGGGGGCCTCTGGTTGAGGCCTACAGGCAGGGAGCGGGAAGAACTGAGGGAGTCCTTCTCGCGGTTTTACATTAAAACCATAGAACCAGTAAAAAGCAAGATAAAAGACGACGTTGTGTCCTCTGAGATCGGAACAGACGGTGGTCACTCGCTGTCTTCATTGTGCACACTTTAAACGCCGTCACTCACCGTATTTGTGTTGTCCTTGCTGCAAGGTCTCCTTCGGTGATGGTATAACATTTATATATGACCACCTGTACACAACGTTACAAATTGGCTTCTATTTGTAAGAAGAAGGAGCAAACAAACTTCACCGTTTTTAAGTGCTTTATTTTAACAATTCTCACTCCCAACAAGGTCAAGAAAGAAATAAGGAGCCGGTGTGCTCCCTGGCAGTCCATCTGCATTGGAGCCCAAGAAGCCATTTTGAAGTGATAGGAAGAGGATGCACAAAGATGAAGTTGGGAACCAGTACAAATAACACATTTCTCATGCTCTGGACTTTGGTAATGGCCCCAACGCAATCAATCAGCAAATACTCAAAGGGAGAGGACACTGCAGGAATAGGCGATAATGGAACAGGTTTAACATTTATGATTTGGTTTACACAAATATGAGGCAGTGATAGAGCTGGAATTGTTGCTCTCTGCGTTTCATCACCTCACTCTTCATCCTCTTAAAGTCCTCCTCACTCCTGCTCACAGATTTTCACATCAGGAGCTCTCGTAAGGGCTCACATGCTTTGGGAATAACTGTTATCTAGTCTTGAATCTAAGGGTAAATTCTATAAAAATGTCAGGACTAATAGAATTTTCGGAGAATTTTTGTCACTCTAGGAACAACTCTTTGTACCGAGGAAGCTTTGTGAAGATGGCCCTTGATCTTTAAGAGCCGGTAAAAGACCTTAGTCGTTGTTATATTATCTATCATGAATCCATCCAACATTTGGCAAAGTCACAGTTGCATGAAAGAGCGTCCAGAAACCACGAGCAGAAACAGACTTGTGATGGATGCCCATTGGATGGTCTTGAGGGAGTTGTAGAAATAAGGATAGGGACAGAGCAACATCAACAACAACAAGTAAGACCGATTTATATCTACAATGTCAGTAATAATGGTAAAAGTATGTGTAGTATCAGTAACTCAATAACAAATAAGTATGTTAATTATGGACGTTGAAGTTGAGCAGCTATGAGATTCACTTTAATATTCATAATAATGTTTAAAGCCTGCCCGATTTTTCGACCAGCCGATAATATTTGCCGATACTAGCATATCCAGGTATTGGCTAATTTTACTGCAAATATGCGCCGATATTACTAGATCTATTCACTAGTCAAATAGCATTTCCTTTTTCTTGTATTACACGCGCAGTTCTCTTTCTGCCGATCACCAGCAAGGTGCGCTGCATGGATTACAGCAAGCATTATCAAGCTCAAGAGTATCAAGCATGCAAGAAGAGATACAGTGCTCAGGAAGTGAGCTGGCACCTCTCCAGCTATCAGATTAATTTCCCGATTTGATCCGCACCAGGACTTGAACCGGTGACCCTTCGGTTCCCAACCCAAGTCCCTACAGACTGAGCTGCTGCCTCCCCGTTGATATATTTTCCATGTTTGATAACTGACTTTGAGGAATCAACACAATCAATGTGTCTTTATCTTCCTCTAAAGATCGAAAATAGACATAGGAAATATATCGGCTAATACATCGTTATCAGACCCTTCCCTGATATCAAAATCAGTATCGGCCCCAAAAAAATGTCATATCGGTCGAGCCCTAATAATGATAATAGTTGTAAGGTTCATATTATAGGTGTAGCAGTTGGAGTCAGCAAACTTTAAAATCATTTATGTCATGCTAGTTGCTGTTTGACTTAATGTAAGTTTAGTTGCATTTGTTTCGCAGTGACGTCGTCAAACGGGTTTATTTGGAGACAGGTGTTCTGTGACTGTTGGTAATGCAACCTGACGAGTGCTGAAAGTCTTGCCTCAAAATCGACTGATCCTTGAAAGCACTCGAAATAAATGAGCAAGCGCTTGACAGAACGTGGGAGTATGAATATTTCTGAAATATTGAGAATTCATAACTATTCAACCACATATATAAATCTGTTGTTTTTATTTGTATTATTTATGGTTCATTTAAATAAAGTTGACATTTCAAATATGTTTAATTGGTCGATCAGCCTACCTCCTACTGAGACTCTATGTTATCTTCACAAACAGGTGTTGTGAAGAAGAGTGGGGGGCTCTTTAGGGTGGTATCAAATTTAATGGATGTATTGTTGTTGGTGTTAATTAAGGTAAACACCCAGTGAGTCAAAATTGACTTGGCAGATCGTCTTGTTCTGCCCTATTTTTTTCAAATCTTTTGCCTTTCTCTCAGAGTTCTAACTCCGGGCATGATGCCTGTTTCTCCCCGCGCCGCACATCGATGATAAATAATCCATTACATCTCTGCAGCTTTTACAGAAACAACTGAGAAAACTTGTCTCGCAAATTCCGCAACAAGCTGAGAAAAAAAAAAAGCCTCGCACCGCGTCACGTCTGATTGTCTGCCCCACTTTCCCTCGTATGCATTTTAATTGGCTGTAAGTGCAGAGAACAGGCACGACCGCAGCAGTCAAAAGTTGTATCACTTCGACGGCCTGTCTCTGGAGCAGCAAAGGCGGTTTTCCTCCGATGCTCTGCAAATCTGCAGGCCTGACAAATCCTTATTAGGGGCTTCTACTGTACATCACCCCAATATGTGTGTGAATGTGTGTGTGTGAGGGTTTATGAGTTTGCACTACCGGCCAGGGAAGCCTATTTGACCAATTAAACCAAGCGGCATTTGCTGTGAGTGTGTGTGTGTGTCTGCTGTGTGGGTGTGAAAAATATTTAGAATCCTCTTGACACCCAATTAGAGAGCAACCCGACGTGACCTCCAACTTCAAGAGACACCAAAAAGCACACTTGAAACAACAACTTGGAACTGCTTGACAAAATGGCCACACTAATGAGCGTCTGTAAACACAACTTTCTTCTTGCTGATTGGTATTTAAAAGAAAGAAAGTTACAATGTGTGTGCAGATTGTGTGACTTTAATTAGCATGTACAATGAAGGCGCAAAACTGGTCAGTGCACCAATGGTCATTTTGGCTACACAATGCCTGCCCAGGACATACTACTAAACAGTACAGCACACATTATTCCCAACACTCATTGTTTTCACTTTGTTTAGAGGTGAAAACATGTTGTTATGTATTGGTTATTTTTATTTCCTGATGCTTGTTTTAAAGAAGGCCCCCGTCTTGCAGCACACTCGCCTCAGAAGTAATTGTATTCCGTTTTTTTCAAAAGTGGAGGACAAATGCAAATGAGGTTCTGATTCTGCCAGTGTCCTTGCATCAGAATCTTTGCCCTTCCTTTTACCACTTTTGATAGCTTAAAGTGTAAAAGTCAATTTAGAGTTGGATCATAAAAAGGTTTGGACAACTTGTAAAAAAACATCTCCAAATGACATGTTTAAAAATGTCTTTCAAACATTTTATTTTTTGAAACAAAATTCCAAAACCCAAATTTTTTCACATGTGTAATGTTACTTGCCATATTACCAATTCCCCCTCCCCCAATGTTGTCATTCAATGTATTTTTTAAACGATTGACTTTTGGATTCTGCTCTTCTGAGAATGCTAAGTAGCTTATTATGGTTGCATCAATAGGACTATATATGGGTTAAATTAAGTATGAGGTGTGTATAGTATTTCAGCTAGGACAGAATAAGCAGCCCAAACTATAAGGATGGATATATACTTTTTTTCTAACCGTGGCATTCCTATACATGACTAGCTTATTGTTCACACACTTGGCTATGCACTACGTCTGTTATTGGAGGTTACCACTAGAGGGCACACCTGAGAGCTAAGTCTGTGTTCAACTAACTGATGTGCCGGATGTAAACCCCAGGCATAGTCACCCTGGAGGTAACATTGCCGCCAATGTAGGTGGTATGAAACGTTGTATGTGAGTTGCTGCCTCGAGCCAAAGGGGTTCAGGTATCTTGGGGAAACTGGTTGGTGTGATACTTCATGTTGAAGTTAAATAGTAGTTGAGCCAGTTGGTAAAGCTCTCAGTGAACCTACAGTTGGAATCCTCCCATTTGGTCACAAGCTTTGGTAAGTTATCAAAAACATTATCAAGGATACAAGCAATAAGCACGACTCATCTGTAAAGAGTGATTCCACAGATGGATCCAAGAGTACAGCTATTGCAGTCAAAATGGATCTCGCTTAGCTGGTTTAGGCCTCTGGTCAGGATGCCTTTTGGGGCCCATTCCTTTGGAGGTTTTCTGGTTTTTCCAACTGGAAAGAGATCCTGGGTAGGAAGAACTTACCTGACCCGAGGTAATCGGAAGATGATAGATTGGTTGCACACCAATGGGGGTGCCAGCTCTACCAACTAGCACCCCTAGGTTGGTTTTAATACTTGAAAATAAAGCCAGTTGTGGAAGTTGGTTCTTCCACAAAGGTAGGGCCAGGTGTAAATATACCTCAAATAAGTCGTCAAACACCCCTCCTAAAATATTTCTCACTTTCTGTAACAAATCAAAGTCTTCCATGTCATGTTCAGTTGGACAGCTCATTCTCAGAAGATGCTATAAAAAAGAAAATGGGAAAAAAGGTTGATGGTTGTCTTTCTATCTTTGATGCATCAAAAGTGGTCGTCATATTTCTTGAGCTGTTATATCAGTGAGCGAGGAAGAGCTGTCAGTCTTTCTTAGATTGTCCTAAATTTGCTTCCGCATACTTTCCATTCATCTTTCAATCACTTGTCAAGCGGCTCGATTGGAGTAGTGGCCCCTTTGATTACATTTAAAGTGGCTATTTTAGGGGACATTTAACTTGTTTCCAACACAGTCTTTTTGGACTGCCTCCAATAGAGACTGAGAAAGTGTACTACAAGTCTAAAAAAGTAAATGAAAAGTTTCCCATATTGGACTGGGAGTTCGCTGCCTCCAGAGGTGATGTAACTGGAAATGAGTCAACTCGCAGAGACCATGACCCAATCCGCAACCGCTCCGGTCCGACCGGGTCCGCGTGCTCCATTTCCCATTGATCGTGCTCGTGAAAACAAATAAAACTAGTGATCAAAGCAAGCGCTGGGAGTTCCCATGGCCACAGTCTGCAGATCACAGAAAGAAGAGCAGGTCTGGGGAAGGGAGGGAGGGGTGGAATGTGGTCGGGGATGGAGGATGAAACGGAATATGAAACAGTCAAAAGGAGATCAAGTCTGCTGATCCTGCTTTTTGATCTCCGTCTGGGCTGCTATTTAATATATATATGACTCCACACAGGCAGATTGAAGTGTACTGTACGAGTCTATCAGCTCCAATACACACTCCTTGTCCACAAACA